ACATTTTTGGACAATTTCTGCAAACAAACTCCCCAACATTTTTATTTTAAATGACAAAAAGTTGTCAGTAATTTATGGAATAACAAAAATGTTTTTATTTTTTACAAACGGAAATTGGGTTTGTACAGATTCCCTTTTTTTAAATTCTAAAATAAAAAATGTAAATATTACAATACTTAAATCAAAATGATTATCTTGTCATACATTTTTTTTTCGTTTTTTTTTCTTCATATCCCTCCAGTCATAGTACAGTATATTGTTTTTCAGTGAAGGCAGTCTGGGCTACCAGAGAACAAGCCCTGTATAGTCATTTTGCTCAGAAGACAAATTGTATTTCATCTTTCCTGCAGCAGACACCGGGCCAAAGCTAAAAAACAGAGTTCTGACATTTGTTTTTCCTTCCTAACATTTTTGATTTTCTTTTCATCTTGCCGAAAGACAACTCATCTGCGGATGGAATTTGCTTACTCCTGCCTCCTCAGTCAATCTCTCACAAAGGCCGTGTCACGTTGGCTGTCTGCACCTGGTAGCAGCCAGACGTTATCAAAGCTCTCCCAGCAGACCGGAGTTTATACGTCCGGCGATACGTTTTCAGACCAAAATAAGACACACGTCTGTTTGGCGCTGATAGAAAAATAGATTGAAAGTTGCGTTATCCCCTTACAGAAAAAGTATCTCCGAGATAACACATCTAGGATAACATTATCGGCCTCACAGCAGAAGATAATTCACATGAAAGTTGTAGAGGAAATGCGAGAGAATGTTGCTTTGTTGTGTGACATATTGTATCCAGCATCAGGCATGCATTTAAACCTGTTTAAGCAGACAATAGGGAGGCGGGCGATGTGCCAGCGTGTGTTCAGATAGCAGCTGATGTGAGGGAGCATCAGATAGGAGAGCCAGGTGAAGGTGTTTAGAAGGCTTTGACACTTCCTGTGATCTCAATCAACAGGAAGCTCGCCGGCCGCTTTATGGGCTCAGCCTCCGTCGTGACGTCTTAGTAGGGGACGATCATTTTTCATTTTCACGCTGCCGTGCATCTATTCTGCCTGTCACCGTCTTTAACTACAGCCGAGAGTAGATTACGGTACTCACAGTGCGTGAAAAACACAGCAACAAAAAGCCGCCAGTGACAGGAGCGTTTAACTGTCTTGCCGGAAATCTCCCCCATGTGGCACTTTCGCCACGGCAAGTTGTTTATTATGTTCCGAGCTAGGCGTAAGCGATTAAAGGGAGCTCTTAAGAATCAAAGTGTTATAAATGCATGGAAACACAGCCAGCTGTAAATGCCACAGAATTAGAAGCTTACCAAGCCTAATACTAATACATGGCCATTTTCAGCTTGATGCTGATATAAAGAAATTACTTTTTTAAAGTAAGCAATAAACGCAGTCAAGGGAGCGATTACCGAGGCCTTATTTTCATCCCGGCATAAATCTGCACACGACCTTTCAGCGGGTCCAACTCGTGAATCCACTTGTTTATTCTTAACACTTCCATAAAAAAAAGTGGATTAAATAAAGCAATATAAACCAAAGCATTTACAGCAAAGGACGAATTACAAGAGTGTTTTTCTCTTCCTTACATGGAGTCATGAAATTCAAATGAAGATGATAACATTTTGAAGCCTTCAGAAAATAGACTCATGTTTTGGGATATCTGAGGATTGTTCTAAGCAGAGGCGCTTTTCTGGGAAGGCGGTTGTCATCAGGTCTGAGTAAACTGGCCAAAGAAAGCAGGACAACAACACAAACACACACACATTAGAGGAAGCCCTACACACACATACAGTATTTTCGATATGACGTTTATTTTCCCCGTTGTGGGAATAATGAAGTATTTCTGATTCTGATCACCATCAGCAGCGAACCCTTTTAAACTGTGCAAGTCAGCAATAATGATCTTGTTAAGACTAATAAACCACTGTCTATATGTTCTATACATGTTATGTAGCACAATAACTTTATTTTGCACATTCTTACTTTAACCTCTCATGTTTATAGAAATATATATTTTTGTATTGTATGTTTTGAACATTTTATTTTAAGTTATTACAGGGCATATGCAGGAATCCTGAAGTCAAATGTAATACCTTTTAAGACCTTTTTTAAGACCCTTTCCATACATTTTAAGAACTCATCGCCACTTGGAGTTTTAACCGGTTACATTGGCGACACACTTTACCTCACATTGACTATATACAGTATTGATTGTCCTTCCTCCTTATCTTCCAACCATTTGGACGCAGACTTGCATTTCCCCATAACGATGTTGTTTAACAACCGGCGTAAACGGACCTTCGCGCGCTATCAAGCAGTGAGCGTGCGATGTCCTGTTCAGATGACGTCAAATCCAACGGGATGCCATCAATAAACTACACAGAATCACACTACACACCTACGCAATGATTACATTCAGGCCAGACTTTAGAATACAACCTCTTTGGACAATTTATATACTTATTGAAAACAAGCTACAAAATGTAATACCTTGGGAAATGCCGTTCAATATTTTTTAATAGCCTTAATTTTCGCTAAATTGATTTATCAACTTTTAATACTTTTTACGACCCCGCGGACACCCTGTATTATGTTTGAATAAATATATTTATTTAACTAAATTAAATATTTGTATTACATTTCTATATACATTTTTTTTTAAAGGAGCAATTGGCACAACACCCATATTTTCCTCAGGATAAAGTACTCTGATGATGAGAGGGACTCTGAATCAGAACATTTGTCACACTGCTCTTACATGTCAATTCAAGATGCATCTCCTAAAGAGCATGATCTGTTCAAATAGACACAAATGAACAGTATGCTTCCACTCATAAACACATACACTGCATTAGAGGCTATTGCGCCGTAAAAGAGCTTTAAACACCAAGACATGGTAATCCCATAAGCTGCTGCAGGGATTTCTGCATTAGCGATGCAATCAAACTCACATTGGAAAGTCGTGTCAATCAGTAGGCTGATTCTGCCACATTAACGTTAATTACACGACCGTTCAGGAGGATTTCAGGGCTGATCTTACATCTGGAGCCGAGGACTGCGGGACTATGTGGAGAATGCGCTCCAGATAAACAGCAGCAACAGGAATCCTGCACTTCAATGTGCTCCAAGTCTGTTCTCCAAATGTGGGGGTAATTGTCTGAATCAAACAAAAGAGGGAGGCTGTTTCACATATTGCGGGGATGAGGGCCTCCTCTGACTATGAAGGGGAAAATAGTCCTATTTGTTAACTGTAACGATGACAGTTGCTGTCATGTCTCTAAAGAAACTGCAGATGTTGGGATTTAAGATTTAAGAGGCACTCTATCAGAGATATAAAGTGGCAGGTCAGTTCCATCAACGCATCGATGTAGGATTTAGTTTAAAGAATCCCTTTTAACATTTTTGGGGGTTTTATCTTGTCTGTAGTATGTTATAGGTTTTTGTATATGTAAATGGTCTGCAAAGGCTAAACTCCAAAGTTCCCTCCCACACACTCCCCCCCCCCCCCCATGTCTGAAACATCGTCCCATAATGACATCACTATGTAACACTTGCACTTCTTTTGCTATCGCTCCAACACATTGTAAGTAATAGGCTAAGGGGCGGGACATCTCTAAGTGGTAGACCAATCACAACAGAGCCGGCCAGCTAACCAATCAGAGCAGACTGGGCTCTGGTTTCAGACAGAGGGTGAAAAGAGGTGCTGCAGCACAGACAGTATGAGAAAAATAAAGACATGTCCCAGTAGAGACACAAAATATGAACCAGAAAATAAGCATAATACGTCCTCTTTAAATTGAGATTTGTAAGATTGACTTATTTTGAAATAAATGTTTATGATTTATTTTATTATAATATATATATATATATATATTATTTTTTTAGCTGTAACATTTCTGCATGTTTTTGTTCCAATTAATTCAGTTTAAACTGTGCATTCAAACACAAACAGCTATTGGCCTTATTTAATGATAATAATTATATGGAAATCATTGTTTGCAAACACAAGAAGAAAAGCAGTGCCCTTCCTCATGTAATGTTTGTTTGGATATCCCTCCCTGGGCAGGGCATGTTGTTGTGTATTTTATTAGTCATATAATTAACTCAAAGGTTCATCTCACTTATGTTGTTGCTTAAAACAACAGTGTTACTCTTTTAAAGCCTCTAACTAAACATACAGTCATTTTTGCACATTACAGGTCCCACCTATCTACCTACAAGTCACAACGCGCTGATCGAGTGGAAGTGAAGAGACACGACAAAGAGTGGCAACAAATACAACGGAAACAAGTGGGGATGAAGCTGTAGGACACACACACACACACACACACACACACACACACACACACACACACACACACACACACACACACACACACACACACACACACACACACACACACACACACACACACACACACACACACACACACACACACACACACACACACACACACACACACACACACACACACACACACACACACACACACACACACAATATTGCTCCATCCAAGCGTTCACATCCTAGGGGGCCAGAAACATTCTCAGGTAGGGAGGACGAATATGAGATATCCAGCAGAATGGCTGACATGCCAACAATAGCAACTGAGTGTGTGTGTGTGTGTGTTAACCCCCGCCGCCGCCCCCCCGACACACAATTTTGTTTTTGTGGCAATACCACATAACATTTTCCATGCAAAAAACACTCCGAGTTGAGCAACCGTTCTTCCTTATGTCCTCATTTCTTCAACAACATATACAACTATTTCTCAAACAACCAACTTTAATGTTGACCCTTAGGGAGAACCGTCTCTTTAAAACTAACCATGAGTAGCTCTTTCAAACCACAGAGTGCACCTGTCGATCTAACCCTCCCTTTTGCCCCCACACTGCAAAATACAGTACACAAACAAGACAACCCGGCTGCATTCAGTTAATGATTAAAGCCCATTCAATGCAGCATTCACACAGAGTCCAGTGAAAGATAGTTGTGTTTACCTTCTGCGAGGACTTGCTTATTTAAAGCAATCTTCAGTTCCAGCGGCGGTGGTAGGACAGCCTCCTCGCCCTGCGGACACAAGACGGAGAATTATTGGTAAACATGATTTAATTAAAGTGCCTGCAAGAGGATTTGTCGCAACACGGAGTACATGGGTGTAAGCTAAATGCTGCTACAGGTCACCCACCAGTTGCTGTTGATTAGAAATTGATCAAAAACTGTTTTCATCTGCAAAATCTTGAGAAAACAATAAATTCCTCTGCTGTATTTCAGCTCCGAGCCTCAGGTTTACCGTCCCGTAGCTGACTATTGTCACACACATCCTTGCATGTCCATCTGTTAACTACAACTACACCCACTGATGATAACAAGGGAACAATAGGGCTGTCTGATAGTGGTTTATTTGCAAGACAAAAACTTTTCATAAAGCAACAGTAGAAGCTCTTCTTGCTCTCCCTTTCTGGCGCACCTGTACCTGCCTCAACTCCCCCTGCCCGCCCCCCCCCCCCCCCCTCATCTGCATGCACACAGCTTTCCTAACTGAGCACTCACCCAAGGAAAGACGAAAAGAGAAGGAAACAAAATCTTATTTTTATGGTAAACTCTATTTTATGGTGACTGTGGGGCAATATCTCAGGTGCATTTGAATAAAAGCATTAAAGCATATCCAAATATGAAAGAAATAAAAAAAGAAGAAGCTCCCATCTCCCCGTCTGCCTTTGTTCTTTTTTACCGTTTTACATTTGGCAGTCAAAACTGTGGCCAGGCGTTTGAGCGAGTGTTCATCTAAAGCAGACTGAGCAAAGATAAAAAAAAACACCACTGGTCCGACTTGCCCAGTTCCAGCATTAATGATGTGTTAAATGCCCTTGTTGAAAAAGCAAGTCAACATGCAGCTCGCTCTGAACTCTACTGAGGGTTGAACAATCATCCAAAATGGACCATTCCCACACAACTACCCTATTATTGTGATTCATTACACTTCAATTAACATACCATCAATGGAATCGTAAATCAATGGCGAGTGGTGACAAATGACAGATATTTTCAGTTTCAAACTCCTAAACATCATTAATTCCCATCACCTGAAAGAGCCCCAGGAGCTAAATGAGTTTATCCAACGCATAACATCCATTTAGATAAACGTTCCATCATTTTAATGACGGGAAAATTGTATTGGAGAGAAAAAGGCAACAACGGGATCCTGATAGCAGCTGTACGCCTTTTCTCCATGTAACATAATGCCTATCTTGTAATGCCTAAACAGATAATTGTCTCCATTTCAAACAGCACAAAGCTGTAATATTGCCATTTAGAGCAGTGGGGGTGCGGAGAACGTAGGGTGAGGATAAACAAGCACACGCTGCTTCGCCCGGTCGGGAAAACCGAGCCCATCACACACTCCCACATTGAGATTGTAGGGAATAGAACAACTCATGGTTGAGATAATTACCCACCTAGGTGGGTTATGTGCATGCTCAGTAAGAGGCTTAAGCTGAGAATATGAATCAAAATGCAACAATTTTAAAAGACGAAAGGAAACTGAGGCGCATTTTGCAAGGTTCTCTTGTAAAGTCTCGGGAGGAGGGTGTCGGAGTTCTGTGTCAAACAAAGAAGGAACAAAGACTTTTGGCAAATCTTTTAGTAGTTACAAGACTCCTGATACCTTTAAAGGTTCAATCCTTTTTGGTCTAAGGACCCCAACAACCCTGACAGATGAACTCACGTACTCACCCTCACGTTATCGATTCAAAATGTATGTTACAGATGTATTACCCTATTAGTATACACATGTATGTTTTTAGGTCAGTTTGGTAAGCAGTTATATTATATTATTAATTAGGGTCAAGCTTACGTTTAGTTAGCAGGATCAACGGTACATTATATGCTTATCATTTGAACCATCCTTTACTCTAAGCGTATTATTGAAAGAGAACATACTATGCTGAATTTCAGGTTCATATCAGTACAGTATGTAGTGTCTCTACTTTAAAGAGTCCTCTCCTGCTGATGTTCAGGTGTATATCAGTATGTAGTGTCTCTACTTTAAAGAGTCCTCTCCTGATGATGTTCAGGTGTATATCAGTATGTAGTGTCTCTACTTTAAAGAGTCCTCTCCTGATGATGTTCAGGTTCATATCAGTATGTAGTGTCTCTACTTTAAAGAGTCCTCTCCTGATGATGTTCAGGTTCATATCAGTATGTAGTGTCTCTACTTTAAAGAGTCCTCTCCTGCTGATGTTCAGGTGTATATCAGTATGTAGTGTCTCTACTTTAAAGAGTCCTCTCCTGATGATGTTCAGGTTCATATCAGTATGTAGTGTCTCTACTTTAAAGAGTCCTCTCCTGATGATGTTCAGGTGTATATCAGTATGTAGTCTCTACTTTAAAGAGTCCTCTCCTGCTGATGTTCAGGTTCATATCAGTATGTAGTGTCTCTACTTTAAAGAGTCCTCTCCTGATGATGTTCAGGTTCATATCAGTATGTAGTGTCTCTACTTTAAAGAGTCCTCTCCTGATGATGTTCAGGTGTATATCAGTATGTAGTGTCTCTACTTTAAAGAGTCCTCTCCTGATGATGTTCAGGTGTATATCAGTATGTAGTGTCTCTACTTTAAAGAGTCCTCTCCTGCTGATGTTCAGGTGTATATCAGTATGTAGTGTCTCTACTTTAAAGAGTCCTCTCCTGCTGATGTTCAGGTGTATATCAGTATGTAGTGTCTCTACTGTGACATGACTCCATGCTTTAATGATCAAAAAGCTCTTTATTTTTCTCAAACTGCCTGTGCTGCAGCACCTCTTTTCACCCTCCGTCTGAAACCAGAGCCCAGTCTGCTCTGATTGGTTAGCTCTGTTGTGATTGGTCAACCGCTTAGAGATGTCCCGCCCCTTAGCCGCCCCATCACGTTCAATGTGTTGGAGCGCTAGCCAAAAGAAGTGGAAGTGTTATAGTGATGTAATTACGTTACGGAAGTATACAAAAGATTCCAATGGAGGGGTTTCAGGTTATTCTGATAATTGCAAATTGTAGTTTACAGGTGTTAGACTTAATTTGAATATATATTTTTTTGTTGTATTATTATTAGTAGACCCTGTAGTACAAGGACCCCTGTTGTGGAATCACTTTTTGAGAGGATCCAAATACATGTTTCCATTCTCTATGCAAATACCACAGGCCTCATTGTAATTGTGAAGGGGCAGAAACATGCAAACACCCTGTTTTCACAGGAAAATGGACAATCAGAAGGGTTTTTTGCTATGGTAATGAACCGCTGCGGTTGCATCTGAGCGCGAACAAAGACTCATTTTATTCTGTCCACAAACCTGTGAAGTGGACTTCCCTATTAGTGAGGGGGTCACGGCTCCACAATATGCTCTCTAGTCCCAGGTACGTTATCAGTGCCTTTGGCTTTGTTGTAAGATTGCATGTTCAAAAAAAATATGAATTAATACCCCTCCACTGAAACGCACCCGATCCCAACAAAAGACCCCGCATTGACGGCTCTTCAGCTCCTCTAATGGACAGGCTGCACTCTCTCTTCACACGCTGCAGACAAAAAGATGAGGGCCCATGAATATTTACCACTAAGTAAAGTTATTCCATTAATTACTCCGAGCACGCCTAATACTGTATCTGTGGCTACTTCTGTGGCGGCTCGTTAATGAACCTTCACACATCATTACCATATTAATTAATGCTCAACTCGATGGTTGTCAATAGGAGACTGCCAGAGTTGTCTCTCGGTTCTTTACAGCCCCATACGGGATGTTTCGATCACTTAGTATCAGCACCTAGAATAAATTGACAGGGTCTATTTATCACGCCACGGCCCAGTGCTGCGTTTGAATGAAGCAAAAATGTAGAGACACTGGTTAACAGCGCTAAGCATTGTGTAACTAAGACGAGGGCGTAGGAGAGTGTAGCGGTGTAAAGTCACTGATATCTACTGTATATACAGGGTCATTGGTGTTTGTTTTTAGGGTGTGTGCAGGATATTTTCCAAGTCACTGTCTGTGCACAGGAAAATCAAAAGCGTGAGTCACATCTTAACAAACGCAGCTGCTTACTGTACGATCCGATCTGCTGAGAAAAAAGGGCTGACAGCACACTATTTTCTTTTCTTCTGGGCTTTTAATAAGAAGGACAGATTAAATGAAAAACATTGCCACGTCTCGTAAAAACAAGCATTGTGGGGGGGTTTTCTCGGTCTTTTTGATGTGATTGGCAGGATCTTGGCATTATATTGTAACACCCACACAGACTGTAAACAACAGCAGTTTCTGACACGCAAACAGACACAAAACCCACCAATTAAAACCAACTTCAATTCAGCCAGCCCTTACTTACTCTGGCTGCTTTCCTCCCATGCTTTTTTTTTTCTAAGCTTAAAAGGCAACAGCGCAGTCTGGTGAATGTCAGGCCTGTCTGATCCCCCCCCCCCTGATTCTCTTGGACCTGCCCTCACGTTTTGCTGAGCTAAGAACAAAGTACACAGAGTGCAAACAGAGAGCTTTGCTGCCTTAATACCAAAGGAAGTGGAATTTCAACCCTAGCCCAAAACAAACAAGGCCGCACATTTCTTTACACTATTTAAATGAGCTCATTGAATACAAAAAGCCCCGATCAAGTGGATATCCAGCGCACACTGCTCTGTGCTCCTTGGGGAATTCTAATCTATTGATCCATGAGATAAAAAACACAGAAAAATGCACTTTGTGAAGTATTTCGTCAGCTGAGAAGAAGCAGCTTGGGCAGCTCAGGATCCACACCGATGAAAAACTTTGGTTTGAATTTAGATCAGTCGAGAAAGTTCACTCTGATCACGCACTGCACACAAAGGGCTAACACAGTCAGTGGTGGATTAAGTACTCAGATGTTTAAATTAAGTAAAAGGAGCATTACTAAATTGTAAGAATAGTTGTTACAAGTTAAAGTCCTGCATTCAAAATCTTATTTAAGTACATCTTATTTAATCAAAATATACTTAAAGTACAACAAGTAAAAGTAATTACTTATTATTATTGCAATGGCCCATTTCAGATTCATATAACTGGATTATTGATGCATT